TTGGTCAATCCGTGTAAGTAAATATTCGATTAAATTGTCGGTCTTAATTTTCTAAATTGGTCGATGATAATCATCGGTAGATTTTTCAAATAACATGTACACCGGATGCTTTACCATAGCCATAATTATAATACCGCCGCTAATACGTACCACCTCTACTTTACCTTAATAGACCTTTACCCTAAAACTTAGTATATATTTAAATTTTGATCGGACACAAACTTTGACGTACGTACGCACGTACAACATATAGGTAAAATTGATTTTTTTTTGTTTCTTAGCTATCAAGCAAGATTTATATTTAATACCATTTTCCGATATATTAATCCCTGCACGTGACCTATTACGTCATTTTTCTAGGAGGTAATTTTGCAACTATATAGTGAAAATTATAGCCAGAAAATTATTAGTATAATTGTTCCAGTCTAATATAAGTGGATTCCGAACCTATTATGTCTATTCACACTTACAATATATGTCAATTTGAATCTATTATGCCGAAATCACTAAATTATTGCGGTTTACAAACCCTTGTGATTTTTTTTTTTTTTTGATTAATCGATCGCGATTGCTAAAGCCGGCCAAGCAAACTCAGATTCATGATAAATTGGCTGGCTTTAGCAATAATCGAATCGCCGAAAAATCACTAGGGAAATTTTTTTATCAGGCGTTTCAGAAATTATAAAAACTGCTGTAACATAATAGATTTAGCCATCCGGGAAATTAAAATAAAAAAAAAAAGAAATACTAATGGGTAACATTAATTTTAAAAATTTTTAATTTTTACAATTATTATAGAAATTTTAAATTTTATACCCTTAAAAAAGATAATTCTTGATCGTCATTAAAGGTTGAGTAGTTAACAATTTATAATTACCATCATAATTCTTATTTTCTTTGTTGAGTTCATCATTGATTTCATCATTGTCTTCAATCGCTTTATCATAATTGTCAGCTTTTTCACTCGTATCACTTGAATTATTAGTGTTGTTACTGTCATCATTTTGTCTATTATTAACAAATGTATAAAAGAAAAAAAAACCTGATCAAACAAGTAATACATCAAGCTATCGAAAATATATTTATATCGTTAAAGAATTTTTTTTCCCATACTTTCTAAAATGCTGTTTCAGCATGTTTTTTTAACAGATTTTTCTCATGGTGAATGATTTGAGTAAATTTCGCATGATTTCTTAACAAATTTTCTAATGAAAAGGGATATATGTCGATTTGATATATAAAAATATAAAAATGTTTATTTGTTAATTATTTTTTCGAAAAGTTTTATTAAAAAAGAAAAAAATGTCTCGTTAAGAAAGCAATGTTGAAGTTATCATTGAATATTCCACGTCGATAAAAAGAAAAATACTCGAGTGGGATGTTATGAAAAAACTATGGATAATGGGCTTTAAGAGCTTAAATGACAATAATTTTAGCCCCGATGGCTTAGATAATTTGTAGCATATCTTGGCCGATAGAAATTAAGCCTCTATACAATAAGGTAAGTTATGTTTAATCTTTATTAGTCCTTAAGTTATAAAAAGGATGCAACTTGGTTAAGGTTGGTTACAACACCTATGTGCGAGGAAGAGGCACATAAGCTCACTAACCCGATAATTATTCCCTTATATTATATGAACCAGGTGACGAGGGTAGAACATAATCTTCCAAGTCGACGGGATCACTATCATGCTCCAATGCAAAAACTATTCAAATCGCACTTAAATAGGTAATTTAATTATTTGTGTTATTATAAATATTATATGCTCAAATATTAATGAATTAAAATTTGACAACAGTATCATCTTTACACATGAATAAGGTTGTTGGCCTGACCCATTTTTCCGAGTTGATTCTGTGAATAAGGGGAATTAAGGAAAATCAGAACCATGACAACCAGAATGACAACCAAGAAAACCTGGGCCAAGAAAACCTGGGTGCAGATTTCTCATAATATAATGGTGTGCCCCTGGTTACACCTTTTTGAAAACAGCTGTAATTTGGGCTTAGAATCAAAAACCAAACCGCATGGTATAATTTAGAAAAGAAAAAGGAAATAAAAAAAAAAAGATTTAGCTTCAATGGTACATTTAAGTCTAGAAATTTTTTTTTTCAAAAAAGTTAATTGCATTTAGAATAACCTATAATTTAATATTTAGAACAAGAAGCAAAAATCTATGTAAAGATCTTATTTTATTGATACGTTTAAGTCTAGAAATTTTTTGTAACCTCACGGGACTTTCATTTTTTCTGAATCGGATGCAAGCGATAGTGAGTCAGTAAGCAGCAGCAGCAGTAGTACTTCAGATGTAATTTAAATTTATTTTTCAAAAAAAGTTAATTGCATTCAGGGATGATCTTTTATACAATGTAAACCT